TTTCTTTTCTGGTTGTTTTGTTGGTCCTCTTCTTATTTCTTCCTTCCTTCCTGTTTTTGTTTGTGTAAAAGTGATATTCTTTAGTAGCATGTTTTAAGTTTTTGCTATTAATTTTTGTGCACCTATCATAGGCTTTTCTTTTGTGGTTACCATGAGGCTTGCAAATAACATCTTACAGCTGGGTATTTTAAACTGATGAAAACTTAACCCTGACTACAAAGAAAAGAAAAGAAGAACAAACGAGTGAAGAGCAAAGTAAACAACTCTACACTTTAATAACTCCATCGCCTGGCAGTTTGACATTTTATTGTCTCTATTTACGTCTCTTTATACTGTCTCTTAAAAAGTTCTTGCAATTATTATTTTTTATAAACTTGTCTTTTGGTCTTTCTGCCAAAGATATTTACATACTGCAGTTGCAGTGTTAAGAATATATTGTGTTTGTCTGTATACTTACCATTACTCGTGAATTAGGTAACTTAAGGTGATTTTTTTTTCTTCTTTGTTAAAATCCATTTCTTTCATATTGAAGATCTCCCCTGAGTGTTTCCTGTAAGACAAATCTGATGTTGATGAAATCTCTCACCTTTTGTCTGTGGAAGTATTTCTCCTTCATGTTTGTAGAATAATTTTGGTGCCTATAACATTCTAAATTGGAAGCTGTTATTCTTTTGGCACTTTGAGCATGCCGACCCGTTCTCTGTTGTCCCATGAGGTTTCTGCTGCCAGACATATTGGAGCTCCTTTTATGTTATTTGCTCATTTCCACTGGTTGTTTTCAGGATCCTTGACCTTTGGGAGTTTCATTAATATGTGCCCTGATATAACCTTATTTGGCTTGAATCTGTTTAGTGTTCTATGATCTTCTTGTACCTGGATATTCATATCTTTCTCTAGGTTTGGGAAGCTTTCTTTGAGTAAACTTTCTACCCTGATGATCGATCTCTCTCTCTCTCTCTCTTTCTCTCTCTCTCTCTCTCTCTCTCCTCTCTCCTCTCTCTCTCTCTCTCCTCTCTCCTCTCTCTCTCTCTCCTCTCTCTCTCCTCCCTCTCCTCTCTCTCTCTCTTTTCTCTCTCTCTCTCTTTTCTCTCTCTCTCCTCTCTCTCTCTCCTCTCCTCTCTCTCTCTCCTCTCTCTCTCTCCTCTCTCTCTCTCTCCTCCCTCTCCTCTCTCTCTCTCTCTCTCTCCTCTCTCTCTCTCTCTCTCTCTCTCTCTCTCTCTCTCTCTCTCTCTCACCTCTTTAAGGCCAACAACTATTAGATATGCCCTTGTCAGACTATTTTCTGGATCTTATATGTATGCTTAATTATTTTTTTATTCTTATTTTTTCCCTCTGATTGTATTTTTATATAGCCTGTCTTCCAGCTCACTAATTTTTTCTGCTGTTTGATCAATTCTGCTATTGAGAGACTCTGATGCATTTTTCTATTGAATTTTTCAACTCCAAAATGTCTGCTTGATTTTTTAAAAATTACTTCAATCTGTTAAATTTATCTGAACAATTCTGAATTCCTTCTCTGTATTATTTTGAAGTTGGCTGAACTTCTGCAAGACAAGTGTTTTTGAAATCTCTATTCGAAAGGTCATATACTTTGTCACTCCAGGATTGGTCTGGTGCTTTTTTTACTTCATTTGGTGAGGTCACGTTCCTTGGATGTTCCTGGTACTTGTGGATGTTTGTTGCTGTCTGGGCACTGAAGAGTCAGGTGTCTATTTTTGTCTTCACAGTGTGGGCTTGTTTGTACCTGTCCTTCTTGAGAAAGCTTTCCAAGTATTCAAAGGGGAATACGTGTTGTAATCTAAGCTTATGGTCACTGTAGCTGTATCAGAATTATGAGGTGCCCTAAGCCCAGGAATGCTGCGACTCTTACCAAGTCCTAGAGGCACAATGATGCTTCTAGATGAATCATTGTCCTAAGAGGAGAATTCCTTGTGTTCCTAGGCAAAGAATCTTCCTCTCTTCTCTTTTGTTCCTTTTTGTTCTCTTTCTCCCCATGCTGGTCTGTCTGGAGTTGGGGGAGGAGTGACACAAACACTCTTGTGGCCACCACAACTGGCACTGTACTGGGTCATACCTGAAGCTAGCACACTACTGTGTCTTGCCTAATGCCCACGGTGACTACTGCCTGGCTACCACTGATGTTTATTCAAGGTCCAGAGCTCTTCAGTTATCAGCTGGTGAATCATCCCAGGACTCAGTCATTCCCTTCAAGGCAGAAAATTCCCTTCTGGCCCAGGGTAGGTCTAGAAATGCCATCCAGGAGCTAGGCCTGGGATCAGGGGCTTCAGGAATCTACTTGGGGCTTTATTTTATTGTGGCTTGGCTGGTACCTCAGTAAGACAAAGACCTCTGTACTTTTTCTTCTCCTTTCCCAAGTTTTTCCCCAAACTGCACTGCCTGGAGTTGAAGAAGAGGGTCCAGAATACTTTAAATCATCTCTAGATTACTAATAATACCTATACCTAATAAAATATAAATGCTATTTATATAATTGTTCTACCGTATTTTTTATTTGTATTATTTTTATTGTTTTAAAAAATATTACCAATCTGAACTTGATTGAATCCATATATGCAGAACTGGAGTGTATGTGGCTGACTATGTAGTATTCTGTTTGGTTAGAAAAAATGCACCAATAGCTCAAAATTTGGAAATTTGGCAATCTGTGATTCAAGACTTAATTTTTTAAAATATATTTTTTCTAGGTGCTATGCATAAATATGTAACATTAACCTTAAAGAAAGAAAATGATCCAAAATCATCTCTTTCTTTTCTACTTTTTCTTTCCAAAGAAAAGGGAAACCTGATGGATGAAGTTAAGTCAACCTCTGAGCTGATTAGATGTTGAACACTACAGCCTTCATGGAAATTTTACTATTTTGGCTAGAAAAAGAATTCAGAGAAGAAATAGTGTTTAAAAGTTGAAGTTGAACATTTAGTTCAAGGAATCCTAAACTAATTTGTGTGTGTGTGCTAATAGTTCATAAATATTAATCATATGTTATTTTGGTCCTTGGGATATATTCCAAGTAAAATTAGCTTGTGAATCTAATCAATTATATTCTCTATAAAGCAGTGGTAAACACTTTGTTTTATAAAAACAGAAGACATTAATTATAGTACAATGGATAAGTGCCCAGGACCTGGCATTAGAATACCTGGTTTTAAGTCCTGGCTCCAGGATTTACTACAGATATGTTCTTGCAAAACTCACTTACTTTATCCTTACTTCCTTATCTATAAAATTGGAATTTTAGACCAGGTGCAGTGGCTCATGCCTGTAATCCCAGCACTTTGGGAGACCTAGACAGGTGGATCACTTGAGGTCAGGAGTTCAAAACCAGCCTGGTCAACATGGTAAAACCCTGTCTCTACCAAAAATACAAACAAAATAACCAGGTGTAGTGGTCGGTACCTATAGTCCCAGCTACTTGGGAGGCTGAGGCAGGAGAACCGCTTGAAGACAGCAGGCGGAGGTCGCAGTGAGCCAAGTTTGCACCACCACTGCACTTCAGCTTAGGCAACAGAGTGAGACTCCATTTCAAAATAAATAAATAATTTAATTAATTGAAATAAAATTGTGATAGTGTCAACCTCAGAGAGTTGTGAAGAGTAAATGAATTAACTTAAACAAAAGAATATAAAACTGTTATCTCAGCCCCATATGGTATCTCTCACTTCTAAATCCTGTAGTATTGAGACTATATAATTGGTTTGACAAATAAATCTGTTTGTTTCAGATGTAATCTTTATAATTGATGTGAAAAATATTTTATTTTATTTAAATATTTTATTTAAAAAATACCTAGCCACCAGGCTAGGCATGGTGGCTCATGCCTGTAATCCCAGCACTTTGGGAGGCTGAGCCGGGCAGATCACTTGAGGTCAGGAGTTCAAGACCACTCTGGCCAATGTGGTAAAATGCTGTCTCTACTAAACATACAAAAATTAGCTGGGTGTGGTGGCACACACCTGTATACCCAGCTACTCAGGAGGCTGAGGAAGGAGAATCACTTGAACCTAACAGGTGGGGACTGCAGAAAGCCAAGATCACGCCACTGCACTCCAACCTGGGTAACAGAGAGAGACTCCATCTCAAAAAAGAAAGAAAGCAAAAAGAAAATATATATCTTTACATTGCCTCTAAAGCTATAGCTTGAATTCCTAGGAAACAGGAAACACTGCTTTCAATTCTCTAACCTCTCTGTATTTAGCATAGTACATTACTAATTTTGTGGACTTCTTAATATTGATTTAATCTTGAGTTATAGGAACTAAATTAATATGTAAGTAGTTTTATCCTATCATTAAATTGCTCTAAATGTGAATCTTAAAGACGTGAAGAGTATAAATATAATTCTAAAACTTATGGTAGAGCAATATAATGTCTTTTCTTCTCAAGTAATAGAATCTATCAAAATTAGAACACTAACTTAAAATCTTGGTCAAATTTCAAATCACTATAACACACATATATATGACAAAGATAACACTGCCAAACATGAAGACTCTGGTTGTTTGCTTGTTTGTTTATTTGTTTTGAGACAAGGTCTCACTCTGTCACCCAGGCTGGAGTGCAATGGCTCGATCTCAGCTCACTGCAACCTTTGTCTCCCAGGCTTAAGTGATCCTCTCACCTCAGCCTCCCGAGTAGCTGGGAGCACAGGCACGCAGCACCACAGCCAGCTATTTTTTTTTTTTTTTTTAGTAGAGACAGGGTTTTATCATGTTGCCCAGGTTGATCTTGAACTCCTGAACTCAAGTGATCCGCTCACCTCAGCCTCCCAAAGTGCTGGGATTACAAGTGTGAGCCATCACACCTGGGCCCAATGGTCATTTTTAACCATAATTCGATAACATGTGACAACTCAACTGCTATGTACTAGTTGAGGATAAACAGTCTATGGATTATTTCAACAATGGAAGGTCTGTTCAAAATCGGTAATAAGTTTTAAAAAATATTTCTAGTTTCTTATTTCTCATTTTTCTTCTTGTTTCAGGGCTTTGAAGACTGCTTGGTATTTGATGAGTTAATGGATAAATTCAATAACGATCTTAGTAAGTAAGGTCAATTTCTCAATTAGACATGGACTAGCTCTTCTGACGAATCGTGGACTTATTTCTGATCCTTAATGATCACAAACCTGTGATGTGTAATGTATATTATCTGCCCAGGATTACACATTTTTCTACTAACAGTCTATGCCACTGTTCTCCCATATCAACAACTAACATCCAGAAAAAGAGACATAGTTTCTTTTGGAGTTTATATGTGGAGGTCCATGAAGTGATTCACTCAAAGATAAAAGCTCAGAGAACCAATGCTTGGCAGAGATATGCTGCTTTCCCTCCCCTCTTGGCCTAGGTAACACCCTCTGCCTGCATTCCCTTGCAGCAGTCCCCAGCGTTTTGGCAGCAGGGACGGGTTTCATGGAAGACAATTTTTCCTGACGGGGGTTGTGGGGGAGATGGTTTCAGGATGAAACTGTTCCAGCTCTGATCATCAGGCACTAGTTAGATTCTCATAAGGAGCATGCAAGCTACATCCCTTGCATGTGCAGCTCACAGGAGGGTTCACGCTCCTATGAGAACTTAATGTCACTGCTGACCTGACAGGAGGCAGTACTCAGGTGGTAACGCTCGTGCACCTGCTGCTCACCTCCTGCTGTACAGCCCAGTTCCTAACAGGCCATGGTCCAAGGGCTGGGGACATCTACCCTACAGCACATCCTCAGAAACACTCTTAGAAGCTCCAGTGTTTTCCTGATTTTTGCCCTATCAAAGATTGCATCTGATATTTCATGTGCCTTTTGATTAAAACTGATTCAGCCAATACATTAATTGTACAGATATTGAATGTTTTGAGTATTTATATAAAATTCTAGAATTAAATTAAATGTGTACAATTATACATATTATGTATATAGTATATATATATACTATATACATAATATGCCTAATGCCTGGGTCTGAAGAGATTATGGCATTTCATGGCATTCCAGGGCAAATTTCTTCTTTTTTGTTTTGTTTTTGTTGTTGCTGTTGTTGTTTTTTGAGATGGAGTCACTCCATTGCCCAGGCTGGAGTGCAATGGTGCAATCTCAGCTCACTGCAACTTCCACCTCCTGGGTTCAAGCAATTCTCCTGCCTCAGCCTCCAGAGTAGCTGGGATTATAGGCATACACCACCACACCTGGCTAATTTTTGTATTTTTAGTAGAGATAGGGTTTTGTCATATTGGCCAGGCTGGTCTCGAACTCCTGACCTCAAGTGATACACCGCCTCGGCATCCCAAAATGGTGGGATTATAGACGTAAACCGCCGTGCCTGGCAGAAATTTCTTTTTTTTTACTTTCCCAGTCATCTCTCCCAGATGCTCAGGAGCCAGAGGCATTTTGTTCCCTCCCTTCCTTCCTAGCCCTTGTGTGATTGGTTTGCAGATAAGGATGAAGGTGGATAGAGGGTTGGTATATTACATAGAAAACAGAAGGTGCAAGCAATAGCCTAAGCACTGGATAACCTTTTCCTGCTTCCCAGCATCACATGCTTTTAAAGGCCCCCTCTGAATTTACACTTGTTTCAGGTGAAGGATCAACTAGAGAACTGGCCTTAAACTTACAGCCAGTTTCAAGTCCTGACTTGCTAACTTATTAACTGTGTGATCTTGAGCAAATCACTTAATCTTTCTAAAGCCTCAGTTCTTCTTCATCTATAAAATGGGGATAATACTCTCAACGTCAGAGTTGTGAAGATTGAATGATTTCACAAAGAAAAAATGATTTCACACACACAAAAAAGAAAGCCTGCCATAAAGTAAGTTCATAGTAGCTGTTTGCTGTGGTGTTTTAGGAAGTTGTAGAACACTGATGTCTGGGTCTGAGGAGATCATAGGGTTCCAGGACAAATTTTTCATGTTTGTTGTTGTTATTTCTCAGTCATCTCTCTCAGCTGCTCATGAGTAGGAGATATTTTGTTTCCTCCCTTCCTAGTGCTGGTGTGACTGGTTTGCACATGGTGATGGAGGTGGATGGAGGGTTTATGTATCAGAACGAACTGTCAATGCTGGTTTGGGGCACTAGAGCACGAAGATGAAACAATAGTATAGACTAACTTTGTTGTAATTTGTATTTAATCACAACAGCAAGTGCTCTATGTGTATTATCAACAGTCAGATTGTTGGTTATATAGAATGTCATTCATAGTTTAAAAAAATTATCGAGAGCATTGGTAGTGAACAGATCATTTAATTTGACCTGTGTAGAGTTCAGCACATGTTTATAGGAGGTTTTGGAAAGATATATTATTTTACTTATAGGTTTGTGTCTTCCTGCATTCTCGAGATTGAGAGTCCCAGATGATCATGCGATTTCAGACCTATCCATGTACAATTACATAGAGGTGAGTGAGAAGGTTTGGCTTTATTTCATGAGATGGTTCACTGATATTCTAACAAAGTTCTTTTCTTTTTCTTTGCGTCAGCACCCCATCTCATGCATACTATATAAGAATATGTACAGACAAGAATGAACACAGAGAGAGAGAGAGAGAAAGAGAGAGAGCGAGCATTCCTTAGACTTGGGCGGATTGTTACTCGGTGTCCAGTGGCAATGACCCACACACATTATTTCCATCTACACTTTAAGGACATTTAGGAAGTAACAAAGCCTCTGATAATTCACATGCTTATATCTTAGACATTTAGTCAAGATGTCATAGGCAATACATTAATTTAATGAAAATACAACTTTCAGATGTGTTAACATACTTAGAAAATCTAAGAAATGTTGAATGGCCTTTTCACTCATAACATTATAACTTGCATATTTAGAGTAGCATTGATTATCCTTTGAAGCCTTACACACTAAAAACAAAAAATGCATAATACCGAAAAGAAATTTATATTCAGGAAAATTAGCACTTTGAAGAAAAACACATTAATTCCATTTTGAACCAGTCACATGAAAAGTCACAATAAGTGATTTCACAATATTATGGTTTTAAAATAATGAAATGAAAGGATTTACAAGACAAATTTAAAGCAGAGTGACCAGCTATTTATCATCTCTCCTGAAGACAGAAAGAAAGAAACTGGGCTTTACCCTGAGTGAAATTGCATCGTATGTGGTGGAGGATGTTCTATTAGATACTAGAAGCTTTATTAATGTATCTTGTCTTATGCTGTCCTATATAGAGAGTAGGTCAGCATAGCTTTACTTGTTGCCATAAGGAATATTACAAACCAACCAGGAAGCAACATAAAATTAGTCCAATATTTGAGCTTTCAGATTACCTGCAGATTTGGTTAAACAAACCCTTTGCTGAAATACAGTTCCTATTTGATCCCTGAGCAAAATAAAACTTCCCCAGCAGGTTTCATATAATTGGTGTACATTGTCAAGGCAACATCCTATATGACTGACATTTACTAAAGTGGATTGGGAATGACTATTACAGAAACAAAAATGCATTTGACTACTTGTGTTTGGGATTGCGATGAGTGGGAATGAAGGATGATAATAAGTTGCAGTAGGAAATAGTTGTATTTGTTCAAAAGCATTTTTTACTCACATTATTGCAGATGCGAGCACATGTCAACTCAAGGTGGTTCATTTTTCAGAAGAACGTGGAGAGATTTCTTCACGCTATTATGCCATCTACCTTCATCCCTCTTTATACCATGGTAAGGTCTGGACTTGAGACTTATTCTCATTTTAATTTTCTGTTTACCTGCTAAAGAAGACACAAGACCATTTTTAAACTTCCCTGCAGGTCACTTTTACCAGAATAAGATACCACGAGGCTGTGCAGCGTTGGCACTGGCAAAAAAAGGTTGGAACGGATTACATTTTTAATTTTTTTTTAATATGATCTGTTGAAATGTCATAGTATTATGATTATGTTTATTTCAGGAAAATAAAACATGATGAGACAGACAGCAAATATTTGCCTTACAAACAGAAACTGTCCTGAGTACAGAGAGGGAAAAGGGCTTACTGAGTGTGAGAGGAAGTGGCAAAGTGAGAGAGCTTTGGAAGGGCAGAGACTCAAGAAAGAAACCGATGCGAATATTTCTCAACTTTTTATTTTAGCAAGGTGTACTGTTTTTGATTTTTGCTTTGTGCAATATTCTCATGAGTTTAATTTGTAAAATTAGACAGAACTGAATCACTTTTAAAACACCTATTCCAGGCTGGGAGCAGAGGCTCATGCCTGTAATCCCAGCACTTTGGGAGGCCGAGGCTGGCGGATCACAAGGTCAGGAATTTGAGACCAGCCTGGCCAATATGGTGAAACCCTGTTTCTACTAAAAATACAAAAATTAGTAGTCTCAGCTACTTGGGAGGCTGAGGCAGGAGAATCACTTGAACCCAGGAGGCAGAGGTTGCAGTGAGCCGAGATCACACTACTTCACTCCAGCCTGGACAACAGAGCAAGACTCCATCTCAAAAAAAAAAAAATACAAAAAATAGCCTGGCATGGTGGTGGATGCCTGTAATCCCAGCTTCTTGGGAGGCTGAGGCAGGAGAATTGCCTGAACCCAGGAGACAGAGGTTGCAGTGAGCTGAGATCACACCATTGCACTCCAGCCTGGGCAACAGAGCAAGACTCCATCTCAATAAAAACAAAGGAAGGAAGGAAGGAAGAAAGGAAGGAAGGAAGGAAGGAAGGAAGGAAGGAAGGAAGGAAGGAAGGAAGGAAGGAGGGAGGGAGGGAGGGGAAAGAAAAAGGAAGGAAGGGAGGGAGGGAGGGAGGAAGGGAGGAAGAAAAGAAAGAGGCCCACCTATTCTAATGAAATGCTATATAATACATTCATATTAGGCAGTTGGCCCACAGATGCCATTAAATGGAATTCTATTCCCTGGTCTTCCACTTTGGGGATTTTCCAATGCCTTTCATTCAACAGCTTTATTTAGTGCATAGCACTGAGCTGGCATGGTGATGAACGTGACATAGTCCACACCTCTCACAAAGCTCAGAGGCTAGCCCGGGATAGACAGTAGCGCTGGAGAGGGATGAACTGCCCCTGAGGAGAACAGGACTGGGCCAGGAAAGGGGAAGGCAGAAGACACATGACCAACACATCAGAGTGAGAGCGGCCAGGATTTCAGTGGAGCTGGAAGGCAACGCTAGTGTGTGAGAATGGTCAGAGGGGCAACTGGAGAGGCAGGCAGGGCTTTAAACACCTGGAATATTATCTTGAGAGAAACAGGGAGCCGAGGGAGGCCAACAGACTCAGGTCTGGATTTTAGAAAGATGTCTATATGGAGAATGGACGGGAAGAAATCAAGATTTATCTATACAAGGTGAATAATACAGGGTCCCCGCCCTTAAGGAGCTGAAAGTCTAAAAGGGGAAAGGAGACCAGCAGCCAGTTAGAATGCAGGACAGTAAGTGTGGGGATAGAAATAGGTCAGGGTGCCATGGGAATGCACCTGACTCAGGCTGGAATGAGCCTCAGGCCACTGTTCACAGATTGTGTTTAGTCTTCGGGTGAGCGTGAGTCACACAGGCCACCAGGCCACCACTCCTCTCATGGGGACTTTTGGGAAGCTTCTGAGAAGGAATGAATTACGTGTGGTCCCAGCACAGTAGTACTCTTCTAAGAATTCACAGCTTTTTCTAAACTGCAAAGGTTTTTTAATGGCTGGCTGCTAAATCTTTTTTCATACAGAACACCTGGATTCATGAGTTTCTTGGGAGAGAGGGAGAAGGGAGGCTCCCAATGCTGGATTTTATCTCTACCTTATCAATTCCTGGCCTGGTGGTCGTGAGATTACGTTGTTGTTTCAGGTTAAAGAACAAAGAGGACATTGTTTACCCCTTTTTTGTTAACAAATGAGGTGTATTTCCAGATTTTAATCTCTGGACAAATGAAATGAGAGTTCTTTCTGTCTTACAGGTGATAAACAAAGGACTCTTTTTCTTCGGATCACTGATAGCCATCAGCAGTACCTACCTACTTATGTACTGCATGTTACTACGACCTCTTGACTACCTGAGAAGACCATGGAACTGGATAGCTCACTTCTGGAACACAAAACATGTTTCCCCACAAAGGCCATGGGCTCCCTAGAACTAACTTCCAATCTCATTAGCAGGTGATAGAAAGGTTTGAGGTAGCAAATGCTTGATTTCTTTCTCTGTGACCAAAATTAAGTGTTAAAAAAAAATGTTTCTATTGCCATATTTGATTCACTAATGGAGGATGCTGATCTGCTTATAATTAAACTTAATGTAGAATTTCTCTGTATGTTAATTGCAATTACTAGCGGGGAGCCCGCCACATTTTAAAAGTTGAAACATGCACCTTTCCTACGTTATGAACACTCAGGTTGAGTCATTCTCACTATAAAAGTGAAGTGACTAAGATCTTTCACTTCTCAAAAAGTAAGGCCCAAGATGCCTCAGGGAAGACAGTAGTCCTGCCTTGTCTTTAAAAAGACACAGTAGAACTCACAGCAGGATGTACTCAACACCTGGGACTAAAAATCACAACTTGCCTAGCATGTTAGTTGCACTTTTTGTCACCTGAATAGAACTTATCTAACCATAGGGTTCAGACTTACTAAATAAAACCAGAAATGTACATCAGGAATTCAGGGGAATTCCAGAGACTTACAAAATTAACTTATTTTATTTTCCCATCTTCAAGTACCACTATTACTATCTATCTGTCTGTCTATCTATCTGTCTATCCATCCACCCATCCATCTATTCTCTATCTATCTATCATCTCTATTTACTTATTTATTTAGAGATCACGTCTCACTCTGTTGTCCAGGCTGGAATGTAGTGGCATGATCTTGGTTCACTGCAATCTCTGCCTCCCAGGCTCAAGCAATCCTCCCACCTGAATCTCTCAAGTAGCTGGGGCTACCATGCCCAGCTAATTTTTTGGTATTTTTCAGTAGAGACAGGGTCTTGCCATTCTGCCCAGGCAGGTCTCAAACTCCTGGCCTTATGTAATCTGCCCAACTCAGCTTCCCAACATGCAGGGATGAGTGGTGTGAGCCACCATTGCCAGCCCAGAATTATCCTGTAGAGGTAAGAAAAAGGTCATTACTATCATACTGAGTAAGGGACAGGAAAGGGTTTTTTCATAAATTAAATGTCTACATATGCAAGAGAGTGGAAAGGAAACAAAGGGAGACAACGTTCATAGAAATACAGAGCTATCATTTTATTCCACTTTAGAACCTCAGAAGCAATTTAGCAATTTATTCTTGGACCATGTCCTGTGGCAGAACGAGCAATACACTCGATTCCTAAAAGCACATTTAGTGAAAACTTTTCTTTGGTTCTTCCTTCTTTAGCAGGCTGCTAAGTCGCTTAGAATTCCTTCAAACATGATTATGAAGATGCAACACTAGAGTCATCTAAGAAGTAAAAACTGGGCAATGAAATAAAATGATTCAGTGTTTCTTTTCTATATTGTCAATGAACTCCTTGAGTTCTAATAGTCCATGTTTAGTTTGTAGGGAAATAATAATTTTTTCCTTATACCCACTTTAGGTTCCTTGGCTGGGGGCCCTATAACAAAAGACAGACTAACAAGAGAAAAACAAACATAAGTGTATTAGCAGGTATATCTATATATGCATGTGGGAAATACAAGTGAAAATACAGGGGAATGAGTAAATCTCAAAGAGCTGGCTTCTTAGAACTCCCTGGCTTGTATAGTATCAACAAAGAACAATAAATTTTTAGAGAAACAACAAAACACAGGAAAAGAGCTTTGAGTCTGTAGGAGCAGCAAATTGTGGGAAGCAAATCCATGGGACTTTGCCACATAGATTCCTCTGGTGCTGGTCTCCAGGCTGATGAGGATTCGAAGTTGTCTCTGAAACTCCTACTTGTCATACTATATCTATAAAATGTCTTTTGTTTCCAATAAGAGAATATTCTTTTTCATTCTAGAATTATCTCCTTGATAATTTGATCAGACATAGGACATGACATTGAATAGAGCCCAACAGTACAAAAAAATTCAATATGTTCTAGCTACTTCACACATGTGGTATGTGATGGTTATTTTTACAGTAAGGTATTTTCAAGAAAAATGTATTACATGTTTTGGAAAATATAGTAATTTAAAAAATATATTTGAAATGAAAATCTCCAACACATTAGAAGATGATGCCAGATGCCCACCATGTGCCATAAGTGGTTTTTCATTATGTAAAGCACCCATTGAATTAAAAGAATTTATTTTTGTTCAACCTCTTCCTGAGGCCCAAGAGCATGTGGGCAATTTGGATTTCCTGCTGGGCCACCAAGTTCTGTTGATATTACATAGAATGGGGATTCCAGAACACTCTTTATGATGGAAGTCTAAAAGCAGCATCCAATGTAAGGCTGCATCTTTCATTGCCATTCTTCATTCCTACAAAGGACGAACTTGGATTACATCAACTTTGGATCCATTGGTTTTGTCACTGTCATCAACTGACAGTGATTCATCACTGGTGATAATAAAAATGATGGAAGAAGAGTTGAAAGTCACTTTTTTCTTTGGCCTGTCCCCATCTTTCTGTGACATCACAATAGGTCTGATCTGCATTTCACTCCCAGCTGCTGATAGGTCTTTAGCAGGCTGCTGGCACCTCAGCATTCGGAGACACAGGAGCTGCAAAAGGGATCTTCGAAACTGGGCAGAGGAAAAATAAAGTTGAATATTAAGTAAAAGTGGGCACTAATCTGGATGAGCATTCAAGGAAATCAGTTGAGCTGAATTTGAGTTGTTTTCTGCTTGTTAGCAGGTGTGGATGTGGGGTTATGTGGTCATGCTCAGACTACCTAAATCACCCCGGAGCTTTATGTCTTTTCTTTTTTGAGATGAAGTCTCGCTCTGTCACCCAGGCTGGAGTGCAGTGGCACGATCTTGGCTCACTGCAACCTCTGCCTGCCAGGTTCAAGCAATTCTCCTGCCTCAGCCTCCCAAGCAGTTGGGACTACAGGTACACACCACCATGCCCAGCTAATTTTTTGTATTTTTAGTAGAGATGGGATTTCACCATATTGGCCAGGCTGTTCTTGAACTGCTGACCTCGTGATCCACCGCCCTCAGCCTCCCAAAGTGCTAGGATTACAGGCATGAGTCACCATGCCTGACTGATGTCTTTTATTTATTCTGAATTCTTATTAACCAGAAGACCATCTAGGACCATTTCAATATCTTATAATCTTCCAAGCTTCAATCTGCACACAGTATGAGGGCAGGTAGAGCTATTTATTTAAGAGATTGCTGAACATTATGTCAGTCCACAAATATTCAGTGGACATCTACTAGGTGAAAGCCACTTGCTATAATTAGAGATACTATAAGCAACCAAAACAGACAGGGCTCTTCGTGGCAGTTTACAGGCTGTTGTACTTGCTAATGTTCCCTTAGTTAGATGAAGAATTCTTTTTTCTATCTAAATTCCTAATCAATTGGGGAAAAAATACTATGGCAGAGAGTACTAATGTCATCAACACACATAATGCGAATAATATTTCTTGGCTTCCTATTGGCTTCTCCTCTCTGCTATTCCTCTCTACAAGAACCTGGGAGGCCAAAGTGTAACAATTATAATATCACACAACGAAAGGAACCTAGATTCCTAAATGACTGCATGGGACAGATCCCATCTCCTCCACCCAATGTATTATTAGACTGTGAACTGTGACCTGAATGAGCAATAAACTCCATGTGAATTCACTGAAATGTTGGAGTTGCTTGTTACAGTCGTCAGTCCATCATGACAAGTAAAACATAAATCAAAAGTTAATGTAATTGGTATCTCCATTATTTAGAGCGAAATAAATGTTGAATATATGGACTTTCTCAGATCAGGAAATATCAATTAAGAATATAATAAATAGCTCCATCGATGTCTGTCTTTTTTGTTTGTGTTTTGTTTTGTTTTATAGAGAACATTGCCTGATAATTTGTCTTCTTTGAGCCCCAATCTTATGTAAGTTAGCATTTAGTTTATACTCACATTTTAAGATATTTATTTTTCCCATTTGATTCAAAAATTTAAAAAATAAAAATATTTATTTGTTTGAGACTTTATTCACTACACCATTGTTTGGTTAAGTGTTAAAGATACATTATTATAAAGGTTAAATAGAGTATGTATGGCAAAAAATGTTTTTCCATATAAATAGTAAGATCTCTGAAGACAAGAACCATTGTTTTTATTTATTTGTTTTTGTGTGTATCTTTTAGACTTCCTGGTTTTTTTTTCCCCCCCCCAAGATGGAGTTTCGCTCTTGTTACCCAGGCTGGAGTGCAATGGCGCGATCTCGGCTCACCGCAACCTCCACCTCCTGGGTTCAGGCAATTCTCCTGCCTCAGCCTCCTGAGTAGCTGGGATTACAGGCACGCGCCACCATGCCCAGCTAAGTTTTTGTATTTTTAGTAGAGACGGGGTTTCACCATGTTGAGCAGATAGTCTCAATCTCTTGACCTTGTGATCCACCCGCCTCGGCCTCCCAAAGTGCTGGGATTACAGGCTTGAGCCACCGCGCCCGGCCGACTTCCTGTTTAAAGTATGCCCTTAGGAATCAGCAACATCAGGACCATGTGGGAGCTTGTTAGACATGCACAATATTGAGCAACCATACATACTGAAGGAGGATATTCATTTCTTACAAGATTTCCAGGTGTGGGATATGCACATGAAAGTTGTAAAAGCCTTGATTTACAGCCCATTGGCTGAGAGGAAAAGTGCAACAAATAATTGTCAGTGAATATATTTTAAATTTGCCCGTTGAGATGGTGGTCTCTAAAATATCTTATTCTCTGATAGAAAATTAATTGAAGTTATAATATAGCTCACTAGAAAAATTAATATATGTGCATACTAAAAAGAAGTTACAAACAATTTCCAGGGTTTCAATGGCTCTTCCGAGGCCAACTCAAGGAATGGGTAGGTCCCATGGACTCCAGGTTTAAAATCTCTGGATCAAAGGAAGTAGACCAATTGAAAGCAACAAGAAAGGAAAGAAATACTGTCAGTGAGAGGAGATTAAGAGACATGAAAGTGAGTTTATGGAGAGTGTTCAGCCAACAATATTCAAAGAAAAGGAAAGGCAAAAGAAGAGGCAGGGATATTTAGCACTCACATTCTTGAGCATTAGAAGTCACAGTGGTTATTATTGCCTGTTATTATTATGACCTGTTATCTTTAAAATTCCAATTGAGTAATGAAGCATTATCCTTAACTTTTAAATTCTCTGAAACATAGAGGGC